GGCTATAAAAACCTCTAGGGATGGAGATTTCACCACTTCCCTATGTAACTCTTCCAGTCCTTTACCATCCTCTCAGTAAAATAGATTTCTTAATATCCAACCTTGACCTCCTGCACTGCAACTTGAGCTCATTGCTCCTCATTCTGTCCTCTGCCACCATGGAAAACAGCCTGTCCATCCTCTTTGGAACCCCCTTCAGGTAGTTGTAGGCTGCTATCAAATCCCCCTTCTCACACTCTCTTCTCTCCTGTAGACTAAATAAGCCCAGTTCCTTCATCCTCTCCTCATAAGTCATGTGCTCCAGCCCTCTCATATTTTTCATTGCTCTCCACTGGACTCTCCCCATTGTGTCCATGTCCTTTCTGTAGTGGGGGCCCAAACTTGGACCCACTACTCCTGATGTGGCTTCACCTGTACACCAATAATTTGGCTCTGGTAACTAGAACTCTCTCAGCTCTATTTGGGGGTGGGGGATAAGAACTGAAATTGCCCCCTTAAAGTTGTAGAAGCTCTACAGTGCTTAACAGATGGGGGAAGTATATTTTTATTTATCACTAATGTCAGTAGACATGGCTCTGAATGCACAGTCACTTAAGAACCACACCTTAAACAGCCTTTTGTTTGTTGATTGTGTTTTCGAGTACTTTCTGTTCATTCTTTTTTTCCCCACGCTATTATGTAGGCATCAAAATATATACATAATGTTTTCTTTCCTAACTACTATGAATTTAATTTATTTTGTTTGTCATGGTTGCAACATTCATTTTATATGGCTTAATATGTCTATGAATGCCTGTCAGTTTATTACATCTAAATAAACACAATCCTTGGCTCTAAATTGGGAGGACTTTAAGAGGTTTTTCTAGTTCAAACTATGGCATATGGATAGTAGAGTACAAATAAAACCAGCAATCTAGTTGGTAGCACTGGAGGAAGACAAACTGAAGATTTATAGAAAGCGGATGTCTTGGTACATCATTGTCAGTTTCAAGTTGGCCAGTACGGTAGTGACTTCTTCCTGATATGTCTCTTGCTAGTGTTGCTGAGCCAGAAGCAGTTTTCTGCTGATATAAAAAATATGTGCCTCAGACTTTAAACCATGCCCCTCTATGCATGCCTTCTGTCCCCTTCACTCTTGGCACTGCTGGCTGAATGAACACTGAGTTCTTCATATCATAGAGCAACTTTCCAGATCTTTGCCACCCTTGCTTCTTCCTGCCTCACTCCCAAGTTTCCTAGTAGTTCAGAGAAGTAAAAACTTCTGGTACTCTGAGTACACTAGTTAGTCAAATTGACAAGGACCTCTGTGACAAGGACCTCCACAAACTGGTGTGGAGATTTTAAAGAACAGAGAAGTACTTTAAACACGTTTAAGTGAGGAAAATTTTTTTAAGATAACTACGTTCACCTTTAATTTAGAGGGATATGAAGAAAGTGTCCTCAAACAAAACATTAAAGGTAGATTATAGAAGTTCCAGCAACACACAGTCCTATACTAACCCTTTTGGACAATTTGTACGCATCTTTGTTTGAAACATGTATTACAGGTTTAAGTAGTGGTATGTTTAAAGTTACCAAGTTCTTCATTTAAAGCATAAAGCTAATTGAATCCAATTCTGCCAAGTTTTGATTTCAGATTAATTAAGTTTAGAGTAAGAACAAAATGAGTTGTTTCCATGCTAGTATGTGCAGTCCAGTTTCATAATGCATCGTCCATTCCTGCGTTATATCAAAAGAAAAACTGCAGTAAGTAGTTGTTCAATAGTCTTGTGTTTTCTGGCTTGGTTTAGAAGATTAAAGAAGTTCTGTCAACTAGATTCTAAAGTTTGCCTTTCTTCAAGAAAGTAATTCTCTTGCAATACCCATGGAATACTGATGCCTGCCTTTTAGGGTGAGACTACTTCAGTGGGGCATAGTCTGCCTAGAAGAGAAACCAGACAAACACTTGGATTTTATTGCCACCTACTTACAACTATTTAGCAGGTTGCTACTTTAAACTGCATCTGAAAATGATGGGTGCTTCCTGAACTACTGCTTGGGTCCTTCCATTACCATCTCCCCATCAGAAGGGGCTACAGAGCCACTCCATGACTTGGCAGAGGATTTCCCCATTGCTGCTCTAGCAGAAGTACACAATACGTTTGTAACAGGTTTCTGAGAGAACTGACATTTAAAGCTGCATTTGTAATGTATTTAAGCCCTTTTTGCTGACTGTAACAAGTGTATGTGCATTTGTATTAAACTTTTAAAGTCAGGTTTCAAATAAAAAGGTTCATTAAAAAATTGAAGTGCTGTGTGAGATTTTGCCATCCTTTCTTGAAAAGAGGATTGGGGTCCTAAACAGGTTGATACTGTCCCTTTTAAGAATTTACCAGTAGTCTAATCCTACATATTACAAAACTGCAATTGTTGTAATATCTTCCATGAATAAATCATTACTTGTATCCCAGTCACACAAACATATGATAGCCACTCTTGCCTCACATCCCAGCAGTGCACAAGGACAGAGAGAATGATCCCTGCCTAGAAGAGCTTACAGCCTAAACATAATTGCATTTAGACCTAGTTTATTCCTTTTCTAAAAATGCAACTTGAAACAACACCAAGTGCCTACATTTTTCAACGAATATATTTTCAGACATAATTAGTTGAATGTGCCCCAGATTTTCATAATCTTACATTCATGTCCAGAAAAATATTTGAAATCAGATAAAGAACAACAAATGTCGTCTTAGATGAATTTTCCCAATTTCTGAGCTGATAACATGAGTCAATACTGGAACAACTCATTTGAAACAGGCTGCAGGAAATTATACCCTGTTCTCTTGTCTCTGAATATTATTGCTTCCATCACTTAAGTAGTTGAGGCCTCATTTGCAATAGTTGCAGCTCCTTGGTGCTAATACATAGGGGGTCTGTATCATTCCTATGGTACTTTTACTGCACCTTTTTCATGTTAAAAGTAATTATTTTCCATATCATGTTAACTTCCTTCATTGACATATAACAGCAAATTTCCAGCAAACTTATTTTCCCTGCAGTATTTGCATATGTAAAAAAAATAATGAAACAAATAGGCTTTAAGGTACCACCGGTCTCCTTGTTAGCTATTGGGACTTTCCTGTGTTGTGGATTTGGTAGACTAAAAGCAATCAAAATTAGAAAAAACATAGGCAGAGACAATATGCATTTGATAATGATTTTGCTGAAGAGTGTTAATAGTTAACCTTACAGCCCTGATAATCTTAATCTCCTCCAGGTGATTGAGTGCAATGGTGTTTAGCTTCCTGCATTTGTCAATGTGAAAATACACATTTGCTTCCTCATCATTGTCATGCCGCAGCCACACAATTAAGTGTTTTTGCTTCCTGAGCCAAACACACAGCAACCATTTCTTGCCATAAGTTCATCCAGATGCTTAATACTGCTTCTCCTCTCATCAGTTAATCCTTGCTTCTTTTTATTTTGTGTTCAAAGATATTGGGTGCCTCATTCATAGTTCTTTCTGTTCCTGTCGACTGATGTATTTGATATTTTTTAACTCGTGTTGGGTTTTGTAATGAGTTTAGTAATCTGCTCAAAAGCTAGTGCTGGCTGCAACAGAGGTGACAGTCTGTGCTGAGATTACACAAAGTGGATTTGGGAGTGGGAGTGGCCTTGCGGAGAGGAGCATTAACTGGTGTTAGCCTGGAATCTGTTTTATACTGTCCTGTAACTCTGAAAATACACATTGAAACTTGGGAAGACAGATACTCGATTATCATATAGAGAACATTCTGTAAGTTCAAGTTTCAGAAGAGCAATTAAGCTGTGTCTTGGGTGAACCGGGCACTTGCTGTGTACAGCCCATTTTTCCAGTGGCGTTGTCTAATGGACTGAACACAAGCCTTGGAGAAAGGAACGCCTGAGTTCTGATATTTGTCTCTGATTCATTATGTGGCCTTGGGCAAATTACTTAGCCCCATTTCCTTCTGTAAAACAAATCATCCCTACCTGCCACGATAGGGTGTTGTAGCCTAGGCTAATGTGTATAGAACAGTTTTAAGGTGGAAATGCTGCACGTATGCTTGATTCTGGATGAAATGTCTAGTCCTACAGAGTTTGACGACTTATCAGAGGGAGGGTTTAGAAAACCTAAATGTTTTACCCTGTCTGAAAAATTATGGTCATGATAATTTGAATAACAGGTGTCCCTATTCCCTCCTCCCTCTTACAAAATTTACTAGTGCTGCAAAGTTTTTCTCTAATTACTTGCTCCCTGTACCATCTGTGCCCTTTGAATTACAGAAGAATACTAGAAATTTACTAAGCTAAAAATTCTGTCTGTTGCAGTGTTACGAGATCGGTTTCATTTGGTGAAGCCAGTAAAATATTTTGGCTCAAATATTTAACAAATGTTGTAGGTTTATAGAGCCAAAGAGGGAGTATAGCATGTGGTCCCTGTATATCTAGCAATATATTCCCCACCCGCCACAAACACAGATTCTAAGATGAGATTCCACAAATTCTGAATGTGTGAGAAAATGTCCATTCGTTCCTTCCCTCCCTGCTTTCTATACATGTGAATGTTTTCTGAAGGAATATTACTGCAGTAGCATGTTGTAGCTTCTCTCTGAGGCCAAAGAGAATTCTAATTTTAGAAAAGCAAAATGTAAAACAACCCTTCTATAAAAGTAATCTGTAGTGAGCACTATTTAACACAAATAAGGGGGAACTAAGCCATTTTATTAGTCTCTCTCCAGTTTCTGTTCAGTAGCTCAAACTATATTTAATTCCAGCTAATAGCTCAAATGTATAGATGGATCACTCAGTTATTCCAAGAGATTTCACTCTGCTTTAAAACATTTGTGTGCCGTTTTCTCTTTTGAAGTAATGTAAGACTACAGTTATTGAGCAATAATGTTTACACTGTAGACAAGTGGGCTTTTTTAGATAAACCTTTCTCATAACATATATTTTCTCATTTTCCAATCCATTATCCCTTCCTGCTCCAATTCTAGGCCTCTCAATGATCCACCCTCAGCTTTCTTCCTTCACCCTGAAGAATCCACAGAGCTTGAACCCCACATTTCAGGTAAACTTGAACCCAGCTGACCAGGGTTCATCTCCTCTTCTGAGTCCTGTCCTGAGTGATGCTGGCAGTTCCCGGGTGGAAGAGGAAGAGGAAGTAAAACGCAAGGTAAGGCAATAGCTGTACAGTGAGTGTAGCATGTGTATTGATTTAGTGTGGATTTGGATGCAATTTGCTGTGTATTCTTCATGCTAATACAAACGTAATGTTTGCAGCTCTGTAGCCTACGAGGGCTCTGAGTCGGGTTCCTTCCCCTCTGGGTCAGTGAGCGGCCACTCTGCCCTACTACGAGTTCCTACAATGCAAATTGAGTGGAAGTATGTTGAGCCTTGGGTTCTGGAGTCTCTTACATTAGAACCTCGTGCTAGGATACTGTGGTTATGGGAGTCGTGTGTGTGCGCGTTATTTAACGTGTTAAACACAACATAGTCCTTGTCATGCCAAGTTGTATTTAATATTGTCAACTGATTGGCTAGTCCTTGTCTACACTGAGTGCTTACCGTCATGTTAGTTAAAATGTTGTTCTAACCTGATTTAATATCCCAAGGTGGACAGGGCCACAGAGCTACCTGTCAACTTACAGGGCAGGTAGCAAAATCTACTTAGGCGTTATCAGCTGGTGAAGGTAGAGTGGGGAGCTTTCTGTTGTTTTTGAGAGATGGTGAATGGGATGGTTTTTGTACTGTTTTAGATAACAATTACTTTGTTTTATGTCTTTATAAATATTGAGCTGCACTCAAGTTTTGTCAGGCACATCATATATAAAAGGAAAAACATAAAACACAACAAATAGTCTACTAGTCTTAAACACTAACAAAACATGTAGATGGTATCATGAGCTTTCATGGGCACAGTCCGCTGCTTCAGATGACAGGAGTGTTAGATGTCTTCTATAACACTCCTGTTATCTGAAGAAGTGGGCTGTGCCCATGAAAGCTCGTCATACCATCTACGTGTTTTGTTAGTTTTTAAGGTGCTACTAGACTATTTGTTGTGGGGTTTTCTAAGTTTTTCCTGTTACAGACTAACTCAGCTACCCCTCTGAAGCATATATAAAAGAAAACAATGAAAAATTGGGGGGTGGAGGGTGTATGTGTATGCATAATGTAGTGGCATTAGGTCTTTTTCATTTGTGTCACACACACCTCATTTTTCAAAGTACTATCTCAGCAATTTGCATTCCATTTAGTTTGAGACTCATAAAAGGTTTTAAGCCCTGGGGTGAATTTTTGTTACAAATTGATTTTAAGTGTGGTCAACTTCTCAGCTTTCTAAAGCTTTAGTTTCCTCAGCTGGGTCACCAATTAATCATAAGCGGTTAGCATCACCCAGTAAGGGTGATGCTTCCCAATTAACCATTCACATTCCTACTTTGGAGCCAGAAATTAAGCATGCCAGTGGGGGCAGAGTTACCTTTCAAACAAGCACTGGTTTTGCAGGATTGGGATCCAGATAAAAAACTCAGCTAGAAAGTTAGAGAGAGTCTGTCAGTGCTTACGGTATGCAGCACCTGGCATGACCTTAAGCCATCTCATGGCTCCCTTGTTCCTGGCTCACTTGCCTCACTTTGCATAGGGACCTGCTTTTATGGTGTCAGTAAGCACTACTACATCAGTGGTGGTTTGGGGGTATTGAGGTGCTAGGTTGAGTGCATCAGACGCTGGAGCATTCAGTAATGCATGAAATGGTGTATTACTTGCCTTGGTGTCTCCTGGGTTAGATGCTGGGATGTTTCCTTTGGACTGAGACTGCAAAATTTTTTTCCTCAGGGAGACTTTGCATTTTTTTTCTAGGATTAATTGATATTTTGCTATCGCAGAGTCTGAGCAGTGGCAAAGGTGTTTGACAGTTAAACTTCTACACTTTACTTCCCGTATCTCTTTCCAGTGCTTCTGAAGAAGTGATATTTTCTATCAGAAGACGTGTATAGCTGCGTATTATGCTGTCCAACAGGAGCAGTGAGCAATAAGCAGAAAATTGTAAATGCATTGTGCAAGGATTTTCATTTCCTAACTAGAAACAAGCTTCTAAATAAAATTTTTCATGCAAAGTACTGGTAAACCACATACATGGTCAGGACCTCTGAGAAGCTGCTGTTGTCTTTAGATAATCCAGAGAAAAATCAGCTGGGAGAAGGCCTACTAGTGCTCTCAAAGTAACTTGGAAAAGCGTTTTCTGGCTAGCAGAATGGGTCAACTACTGAGACTAATGTGAGACCAAAAAAAGAAAAATTAAGGGCCCTGAATTTCAGCAGGGAATCATTTGGAAGGTCACGGAAATTGTAAGGTGAAAATGAAAGAGATGGTACCATGGAAAGAGAGCGAGAGAGAGAGAACACTTGGGAAATGCAAAAGATTTAAAGGTAAATAACTGTTATAGAACTGGAAGAGACCTTGAGAGGTCAGCAAGTCCAGTCCCTTACCCTCACGGCAAGACCAAGAAAAATCTAGATCATCCCTGACAGGTGTGTGTCTCACCTGCTCTTAAATATCTCCAATTGTGGAGATTCCATAACCTCCCTGGGCAGTTTATTCCAGTGTTTAACCACCCTGACTGGTAGGAAGTTTTTCCTAATGTCCAACCTAAACCTCCCTTGCTGCAGTTTAAGCCCATTGCTGCTTGTCCTGTCACTAGAGGCCAAGGAGAACAGTTTTTCTCCCTCCTCCTTGTGATACCCTTTTAGATACTTGAAAACTGCTGTCATGTTCCCTCAGTCTTTTGTTTTCCAAACTAAACAAACCCAGTTCAAGTGCTTGTTCATGTCCATTCCAGTCAGGTGTGTGCATGCGCCAGATTTTCCCCTAGCAGCTAACTGTAATGCTAAGGCAAAGCGGTGCCCTCATGACACTGTATATAAGACCCTGCCAACCCACTCCCTCTTCAAGTCCTTCTTATTGCCAATGACAGTAGCTGGAAATTTCTGTGCTCATCTCTTGCCTTGCATAAGCATATATCTTCAACCCTTGCATATAGCGAGCCGTGTTCGTACTTGGTAATTAGTTACCTGTTAGTTTGGCGCTAGGTAGTTTTACATTCATTAGAGAGGTTCCTCCCTTCCGGTTCTGTTCAGATTGTTCCCCAGGTCGTGACTCGTTGCCCGGGCTTCAAGACCTGCCAGTGGTGCACCAAGTGCATGCCAAAGAGTGCTCCTCTTGTCTCCTGCCTCAAGTGCCTGGGCGAGGGTCATCAAAGGGCTGCTGCAAGATCTATCAGGAATTGTGACCAAGAGCAATCAGAGCGCAGCAGCAGCTTAAAATCCTACTTATGGAGGTAGGCCTTTGGCCGCAATCTGACCCCAGCACCAGAGATGCAGTGCCTACTGCTTCCTCATTGATTAGGAGTGCCCCAGCACTGATATCGAGAGACGGCACTGAAGAGAGACCCGGGCATGGACCGTCTTGGTCTCACTACTTGGTGCAGTTATGCCAGCCCTTGGCACCAATCCCAGTCACCAGCTCAGAGAAGGAAAAGAGATAGGGAAGAATCCCCTCTGGCGAAGTTGGGAGAACAGCTGGTAATGGCACCGCATTTGGGCCACAACACTGGAGCTTGCCCCAAATCTGCATCAACTCCTGCTTAAATGAGTTGAGTTCAAGCCAACCACAATTGCTGGGGTCCTCTGGGCCACTGTCCATGGTGGGGGCTTTCCATATGGTGCAGCACTTGAGGCACCTCACAATACCATTCTTGTCTCCCAACTAGGATGCTACAAACAGCATCACTTGCCCCATAATCTCAGCCGTGCGGAATGCAATGCCATCCACAGCCTCAGAAACAACTTGGACATCATAATCAAAGAGGCTGACAAAGGAGGTGCTGTTATCGTGAAAGTCAGACTTCCAAAAGGAGGCTGCCAGACAACTCTCCAATACCACATTCTACAGGTCACTTTCCTCAGATCCCACTGCGGAATACCCTACGAAACTGCACCGTCTGCTCAAGACACTCCCTACACAAGCACAGGAACAATTCTTCAGACACACCACTAGAGCCCTGACCAGGGTTATTTTATCTACTACCCAAGATCCATAAACCTGGAAATCCTGGACACCCCATCATCTCAGGCATTGGCACTCTCACTGCAGGACTGTCTGGATATGTGGACTCTCTACTCAGACCCTATGCCACCAGCACCCCTAGCTATCTCTGAGACACCACGGACTTCCTGAGAAAACTACAAAGCATTGGTGATCTTCCAGAAAACACCATCCTAGCCACCAACATCCCACACAGGTGGAATACAAGCTGTCAGGAACAGTATCCCTGACGATGCCACAGCACAACTGGTGGCTGAGCTCTATGACTTTATCCCCACACAACTATTTCAGATTTGGGGACAATTTATACCTCCAGCCCAGTGGCATCACTATGGACACCCGGCTGGCCCCACAATATGCCAACATAGTTATGGCTGACCTGGAACAGCACTTCCTCAGCTCTCATCCACTAACGCCCCTCTATGTACGCTACATTGATGACACCTTCATCTGGACCCACGGGAAGGAGGCGGCTCTGGAAGAATTTCACCGTGATTTCAACAATTTCCACCCCATCATCAACCTTAGCCTGGACCAGTCTACACAAGAGATCCACTTCCTGGACACTACAGTGCAAATAACTCTAACTCTGGAACAAATCCCTGCAACAAACCTCGGTGCCAACTCTACCCACATATCTACACCATCACAGGACCTAACCAGATCAGCTATACCATCATGGGCTTATTCACCTGCACATCTACCAATGTAATATATGCACCCGTGCCAGCAGTGCCCCTCTGCCATATACATCAGCCAAACTGGCCAGTCCCTATGTAAAAGAATAAATGGACACAAATCAGATCTCAGGAATGGCAATACACAAAAACCTGTAGGGGACACTTCAATCTCCCTGGACACACAGTAGCAGATTTAAAAGTAGCCATCCTGCAACAACAAAAATTCAAGACCAGACTTCAAAGAAAAACTGTAGAGGTACAATTCATCTGCAAGTTTGATATTATCATTTTAGGATTAAACCAAGACTGTGAATGGCTAGCCAACTACAAAAGCAGTTTCTCCTCTCTTGGGGTATGTCTAGACTACATGGCTTCATTGACGGAGCCATGTAAACTAGTTTACCTGGCATAGGCAAAGAAGCTGGGATTTAAATAATCCCCACTTCATTAAAATAAACATGGCCGCCGCGCTGTGCTGACGATGAGCTGATCTGGCACAGCGTGGCAGTCTAGATGCGGATCTGTCGGCTGGGGAAGCCTTTGCCGACCGATCCCTTATGCCTCGTGAAGCTAGATAGCTTCCCCAATTATCACCCCTAATGTCATTACCTCACAGACACTAACCTTCCCCCTGCTCACCCCCACTCTGTTCTAAAATTTGATTTGTCAATTTTATGTGTTCACTTTTTTTTATTGTATCCCTTTGGTATATATGGTCGTGCCAATTTTCTTCCACAAATTGATCTGAAGAAGTGGGTCTGGCCCACGAAAGTTCATCACGTAATAAACCATCTTGTTAGTCTTTAAAGTGCTACATAGTCCTGTCTTTTGTTTTAGCTAGACCAGACTAACACGGCTGCATCTGTATCACTAGTTACTAGAAGACACAACTTAATTTACAGTGCAGACAAAGGAGTACAGCTTAATTTGTAATGCTAATAGGAAGCAAGGCCTTACAGTAACATTATAATAACCCTCCCTCTCCCTCACCCAATCTTCTGTACTAAATCTGATTTGTCAGTTTAATAGTGTGTTCACTTTTTTCATTGTATTCCTTTGGTATATATGGTCATGCCAATTCTCTTCCAGAAAATGATCTGAGGAAGTGGGTCTGGCCCACTAAGCTCATCACCTATTAAACCATCTTGTTAGTCTTTAAAGTGCTACATAGTCTGATCTTGCTAAAACAAAAGGAAAAACGAACATGGCTACTTCTCTGTTGCTATTATCTGATTGTGAGAGACAGAGTGCAATAGAAGCAGACAGAACTTATACGCAAGTCATTATACATCAGATCATTATGCATCGTACTTACAGTCTTATACCCAAAACTAAAATATACAGTTTTACTACAACAGAAGCCACGGGTCCTGCTCTAAGGCACCATCTGTGGTTTTGGTGACCTTCGTTCCTCTGTGCAGAGTCAAGCAGTGTTTCCAGTTGCTAACCTCGGCAACAATGGTGGCACTGGCCCCAACCTCATTGGCGCCAGAGTCATTCGTGGCCAGAGGTATGCCTTCTGCATTGAACAAACCACCGGCTCCAATGTGGGAATAGTGCCACTTCCAGTCCCAGCCCGATCTGTATCTCCTGGCTGGGCTCATGCAGTCCCTCGGGGCAGTAGAGTTGCACAGCTGGGAGGAGCTGCCAGTAGGGAGCGCTGGTTCCTGAGAGTGGCGCACCACACTCCTCTCCTCTGGCCACAGCATCTCCTGGGAGTAGAGCCCTGCGGATACTAGTTTCTGTCTGTGGTAGATATTTGTATCCACGCAGGGCTCTAACGGCAGGAGACAAGACCTCCGAGTCTGTGGTGCACTTGTCATTGCCATATGGTTGGAAGGGCTGTAGCTGTAGCCAGTTAAGTGTTTACTTCTGTTGCACCCACATGGTCTTTTCTGTGCTCCTTGTGCTTGCCTGCAGTACAGCAGGAGAGTAGTGAGGCTACGTGATGTACAGTACAGGGTGGAATTTGTAGGCTTTTCTGGTGCCATGATTTTAGTAACCAAGATTCCCTGAAGATTTAGTGCCCCTTGATACTTTATACCTGTAGCATTAGTTGAAGTGGGGTTGCCTGAAATAATGCAGGTGTTTGTTTTTAAGTAAAAGGAACCTTTCTTCTTTTAGTTGGTACATATGTAAAAAAAGGAGGGGGAGAGGGACTAATTTGTAAAGCTCTAGTACCGTGAAGAGGAACCAAAAGATAAATAGATTCTCAGATGACATAAAGTAGCGTAGTTCCATTCATTTCACTGGAACTGTACTCGTTTACATAGACTGAGGCTCTTGGGCGCACAGGCAGGGTGAGTTAAGGACAAAGTGGTTTCTTAAATTGAAATGTGATCAGACCCCTCAATATTATTTAAGAATTTTTAAATAATATATGTGTTTAAGCCAACTTGTGATTTGTTGCAACCACAGAAATCCATTTTCATCATTTTCTTCCTTCTGCTCTGATGTACATTCCCCTCTCTCTCTTCAAAATAGAGTTTGGGGTTTGGGAGAAGCTGACTCCAAATATAGTGGAAGAAAGGGATTGTTTCAGGGGGGTTTTACACTGGATAAATGGTCCTGATAAAACTGAAGTAAACTCTGCGTAAGTAAGAATTCACTGCCTTTTCCAACTGGTATTACATAGGGCCCAGTTTCCCTTATAAACTCTTGCAGATACAGTGCATTTTCTTTCCTGATGGTTGGCTTTTTAATTTTAATAACATTTGTTCCAAGAAAGGCTTGGGATCTAGCATCTGCTTCTTAACCCTGTGTCTGCATGTTGATGGAGCGCTGTACTGCCATAGTCACCCCATGGCAACCACAGACAGCTTGCTTGTTGTGAAGAAGTGGGCTGTGCCCACGAAAGCTCTTGATCCCAGTGCATTTTCTTTCCTGATGGTTGGCTTTTTAATTTTAATAACATTTGTTCCAAGAAAGGCTTGGGATCTAGCATCTGCTTCTTAACCCTGTGTCTGCATGTTGATGGAGCGCTGTACTGCCATAGTCACCCCATGGCAACCACAGACAGCTTGCTTGTTGTGAAGAAGTGGGCTGTGCCCACGAAAGCTCTTGATCCCGTCTACATGTTTTGTTAGTCTATAAAGTGCTACCAGGCCATTGGTTGGTTTTTAAGGTTAGATAATTAGTGTTACCTTTGAGTAGATGAAAGCAGAGTGATTCTGAAAGTGCCAAAACACTGATGCTGCTGTATTAGAAATAAGGAAACCATTTTTTGGGGCATATTTTTAGTAAAAGTCAGGGACAGGTCATGGGCAATAAATACAAATTCACCGAAACTGTGACCTGACCTTAATGTTTACTGAACACATCTCTGACAAAGTGGGAGGGGAGGAGAGTGGAGCACCCTGCTCTCTGACCCCCAGCACCTGAGAGCTGTAGGGACCCCATTGCTCAGTGGCTGAGAGTGGCCACCATGCAGGGCTGGAGGTAATGGGGTTGGGGGGGGCCTTTGCCAGCAGCAGAGGCTGGGGTGCTGTCAGGGTCCCTTTGCCACTGCTGGCTGGGATCTGCAAGGGGTCCCACTTCCAGGGGGACTCCTGCCAGCAGTGGCAGCTAGCCTGCTCAGAGGTTGCTGGTGGCCAGTCAATTGAAGGGGTTCACGACACCCGCAGCTACTTGGCAGCTGTAGGAGTATTCCCTGCCATTCATGGAGGCTGGGCTGCTGTGGGGTGCCCCGCAATCGGCAGCTGCTGGTCAGCAGTGGGGTCCCCAGTGTCACGGAGGTCACTGGAAGTTGCAGGGTCTGTGACCTCTGTGGCCTCCATGACGACATCTTAGCCTTAATTGGAAACACAGGTCCTGCTTAAATTTGTTTCAGAATCCTTTACAGATTGTCAGAGCTGGGATAGTAACTTACCCACTTCTGTGAATTGCTCTGAGATTGTAGAATGAAAAGTGCCATGTAAATAAATGTACGGCAGTTTTGTTACCTAATTTAGTTTAGAGGTTTCTTTTAGACTCAAAATAATTTACAACAAATCCAATGTTTGTGTTTTGCAGCAGGAGGCAACAGTTTAGCCAGAGTAACACTGCTTGAACTCCCCCCATAGTGATACAGGAGCTAGTTGAAAGCGAGTTCGTCATGCAGTGTTTAATTCTAAATGGCAGTTTTCTTTTCTTTCAGCGATATCCAGCAGACAAGGCGTATTTTGTAGCAAAGGAGATTCTTGCTACTGAACGGACGTACGTGAAAGACCTAGAAGTCATTACAGTAGTAAGAGAATTAAACTTTCTTCAATATTCTTCTTCCTTGGACTAGGTTTTTAACCATTAACTTGGGGAAAAGTAGAAATACTTCTTCGAGCTGTGTGTCCTTGTAGTGCTCCATGTCCAGTGTCTGACATCCTGGTGCCATCCATTGGAGAGGTTTGGGAGCAGTGTCTGCCCAGGTCACGTGTGCAGTTGGCATTTCACAGTGCCGTTGGTGCACATAACCTGAAACCTCCAGTTCCTTCTCAGCCGTCCTCCACTGAGCTCAGGGGCAGTGTGTGTCACTCGCCAGACCTTTAAAAATAGCAGTGTGCATAGCTAGTCTTTCTAATAGCTCAATGGGGAATAGTGTTAGTAAAACTAACAGACAGAAATCTCACAGACATCTAACTTTCCCCACCTCTAATATCATCAATTCACAGACACTTACCTTCCTTCCTCCCCTCCCCCCCCCCCCCCCCCCCCGCATCCCCCTCCTGTTCTGAAATGTGATTTGTCCTTTTCATATGTGTTCATTTTTTTAATTGTATCCTTTGGTATATATGGTTGTGACTATTTTCTTCCATTATTTGATCTGAGGAAGTGGGTCTGGTTTACGTAGCACAAAACAAGTTTAACTACGTGAGAGATTTTAAGTGATAGCAAACCCATCAAAGCAGATTATGTACAAGTAACAAATTTCATCCTAAAGTTAGTATTCTGAGCAGATGTTAAACAAGTGATACAAGCAGGCTGCAGATTCTGTGCTTGCTTTACAGCTTGGAATCCCCTGGTATTTTATGCACAGGCTCGAAATCTCCTTAGTCCAGGTCAAACACTTTCCCCAGTTCATTCTTTGTTCCTCAGGTGTTTCCTCGGGAGTGAGGAATCGTGGATTGCATCAATCCCTGTCTTATAGAGCTTTTGCATAGAGTAGGAACCCTTTGTTTCAAAGCGTGATTCCCACCATATGCAAAAGCGCAGTGGAAAAACACTGACATCCCAAGATGCACATCGGCATTATGGGGCCCGACTGATTGTATGTCTTTATAAAGTCATAGCAGCCCTTACTTAAAAGCAGGGCGTGAGGCCTGGGCAACTCCCCAGTACCCTGCCCCCACTCTACCCCTTCCCTCAAACACTGCCCCAGCTCTGCTTCTGCCCTGTCGTAGCATCCTAGAAGTGGAAGGGACCTTGGTAGATCAAGTCCAGACCTCCGCCCCATCTAAACCATCCCTAACAGGTGTCTGTCTAACCTGCTCTTAAATATCTCAGGTGATGGAGATTCTCTCCCCAGGCTATTGATTCCAGTGTTTGACCACCCTGACAGGCAGGAAGTGTTTCCTAATGTCCAATCTAAACGTCTCTGGCTGCAGTTTAAGCCCATTGCTTCTCGTTCTGTCCTCAGAGGCCAAGGAGAACCATTTTTCTTCTTTGAGTGATTGCTCATGGACATTCCATGTAGATGTGCACACAGCGTACATGCGTCGTCAGAGATTTTTCCCTCAGCAGTACCGGTCGGGCCAGCAGGGAGCCCCCTGGAGTGGCGCTGGCATATTGACCAATATATACCCCTGCTGGCCCCCTCCCCCACTCAGTTCCTTCTTACCGCCGTGATGGTCGTTGGAGCAACCTTCAGCTCTCACTAAGCGATCATTGCCTTTGTTTCCAGTTAATCGCTGGCTAAGAAGCTGCAATTGAAGTTTGACTCTTTTGTTGCTTTTTGTTTGTTCCCTGCTGCGGAGCACCATGTGCACCACAAGCGTTCAAGCCCTGCAAGAAGTGTCACAGGCCCATGCCCTGTGGCGATCTGCAATTGGCTTGCCTAAAGTGCTTGGGGGAGGCTCATCTTGCAGAAGCCTGCAAAATCTGCAAAACTTTCAAAAGCCGCACCAAGCGCGTACCAAGGTCATCCTGATAGAGGTGGCCCTCGGGCCAGCACTGGCGTCGGATGCGGCACCGGCCTCCCAGAGCACACTGGTGTCGGTGCGGGACACGTCAGTGCAGCGCGTCTCCCGGACACCGCGTAGGCCCTGGCAGCGGTCCCAGTCCCCGGCACCTCAGAAGAGACGGCCTGTCAGGGGCAGGTCCCCACCGAAGCGTGCACCCTCCAGCGCGGCACGTGGCGCCCACGAGTCCGGAGCCTGGGCCATCTCGATCGGGCAGACATTCGTCCCAGCACAGGGAACCCAGCCTTCTGGGGGACTTTCCCAAGCCCTCCACCCCGGAGGCCCTTGAGGCAGCGAGGGTCCTCATAGACTCGTCTCCCTCTCCTCCTCCTTCTTCTCCCACTCCAATCCCCTCCAGACGTCATGGGGCGGGTCGGCACCGGCCTCCTTCGAGGACTTGGCACCAGAGGCCAGGGATCACCGCTCGACTCACCCTGCTCCACCGGAACTGTTCGCGGCGCCAGTAACTGTCGCCCCGGCACTGGCGACCTCCAGGGATGCAGCAACAGGCTTGGTGGGGTACCAACGCTCGACTCTGCCCTCGGCTCCAGCCCTGGCTGTGCTCCTGCCCCCCCATGCCGCCGCCTCCTCCCCGGCACCGTGGTAAACTCGAGTCCATGGCCAGGCACGCAGCAGTATCTTTGGCGCCTGTGTCAGGCCCACCCTGGTCCGCCTCTGAGTACTTGTCTGACTCCGAGGTGGAGTCCGCTTGGTCGTTTAGGGGCTCAAGGTCCCAGCGCCACAGCCGGTCCTGGTGCCAATGTTGCAACAGATTGGACCAGTGGCCATTCTGGACACCCTGGGCATATCACCAGAGCTTGGGTGCAGACCCATCCAGTCTGACCTCGGTCATTTTGGGCCCCAGGTCCCCTCCATCAGCAACCCCCGTGACCCGGTCTCCAAACTTAGGCCAGTCGCCACCACCTGGTCAAACCTCCCCAGGCCCTTTGGGAAGCGTGGCACTTGTGAGCCAGCCTCCCTTGTCCTCAACATCGGGGCCCTTGCAAGACCCAGTGTGGTCAGAGGCCCCTGTAGGGGAGACCCAGAAAGGGTTATTGAGACTCTGCCTTCCATGCTCTCCATGGACGCTAGGGTACACCAGGATCTTCTCCCCCAACTGGCCCAAAGTTTGGGGGTCCAGGCAGAGATGGTGTCTGAAGATTCAGACCCCACGGTAGACATTCTTCAGTCCGACACCCCCCTCCAGAGTGGCCTTACCGGTTAACAAGATGGTGGCAAATTTTTCCAAAGGCTTGTGGCAAACCCCTGCCTCCATTCCTCCCACGAATAAGCGGGATGAGAGGAGGTACTTTGTTCTCCAGGAGGGCAATGAACACCTGTTCTCCCACCCACCTCCAGGCTCTCTGGTGGTACAAGCGATGAACCAGAGGGAGAGGCAATCTGCCGCTACCCCCAAGAATAGGGAGGCTAAGAAGACTGACTTGTTGGGCAGGAAAGGCCGGTGGCATTCAGTACCGGATCGCCAATCAGCAGGTCCTCTTGTCGCGTTACGTTTTCAACACTTGGACCCATGGAAAAGTTCACCGACCTGCTCCCTGCGGACTCTCATTCGGAGTTCAAAGCCCTTCACGAGGAGGACACGGCAATTCTGAGGGCAGCCCTCCAGGCGGCTCTCAACGTGGCCGATGCCGCTGCCCATGTGATGACCACAGGTGTGTTCCTATGCCACAACTCCTGGCTCCAGGGCTCTGGGGTTCCCCTGGAGCTCAAAAATACTTTACAGGACCTCCCTTTCGAGGGTCCCTCTCTTTTTTTGGAGCAAATGGACCAACAGCTCCGCAGTCTCAAGGACACACGTGCCACCCTGAAATCCTTGGGCATGCACACCCCTGTCACCCAGAGGCGCTCGTTTGCAAATAGGAATGTTCCTAGATTGCCCCCGCAAGCTCCATGCCACGAGGCTCTGGCCCCACCCTGCTCCGGATCAGAACCAGGGGCCTTCCAACAAGCCCTTGGGCCCCCATCAGGGGTTTTGATGGGACGCTTGAGGGTGTCCTACCAGTCTCCCCACTTATCTTCCGGGACCATTTATCCCGCTTCCTTCAAGCCTGGCAGTTTATTACGTCAGACCAATGGGTACTGGAGATAGTGGAAAGAGGTTATGTAATCCCTTTCCACTTGCCCCCACCTCCCAACCTCCTACTCCGTCCCTTTTCAGAGATCCCTCTCATGAGCCTCTACTACAACAAGATGTCTACCACCTCCTTACGCTGGGGGCAGTGGAGCGGGTTCCTTCCGACTTCCTGGGCAGGAGGTTCTATTCCTGCTATTTCCTGGTCCCAAAGGGGGGGTCTGTCCCATCTTGGACCTCAGAGCTCTCAACTCCTTCATTTCGAAAACAAAATTCAAAATGGTAACATTGGCCTCTGTAATTCCTTCGTTAGCCCCCAGAGACTGGTACGCTGCCCTTGATTTAAAAGATGCTGACTTCCACATTTCCATCGCCTCCCACCATCGGAGGTTCCTCCGCTTCACGGTAGGCTCAGACCACTACCAATTCACGACCCTTCCCTTTGGCATTTCAACGTCCCCTCGGGTCTTCACCAAATGCATGGTGGCCGTGGCCGCCACTCTGAGGAAAAGGGGCATTCAAGTGTTTCCCTACCTGGACTGGCTCCTGAGGGGAAACTCCGAGTCAGGTGAGAGCCCACATGGTCTTAGTCTGGAGCTTCTTCGAGGATCTCGGGCTCCTACTGAACTTGGACAAGTCAGCCCTTACCCCAACCCCAATAATATAATTTGTGGGTGCCTCCCTGGACTCTGTCGCCAAGGGCCTTACTGCCCAGGTCCTGGTTCCTCGTAATAGAGGCTGCTGTCAGGGGTCTACAGAACTTTTCAGTGACTACCACCAGGACATGTATGCGGCTCTTGGGCCTCATGGCCGCTTGCACCTATGTCATGCAACATGCCAGACTGCACATGCGCCTACTACAAATGTGGCTAGCAAGAGTCCACAATCCGACTGTCCACTCATGGGACAGGGTGGTGACAATTCCCCAACCCCGTCCTCTTCTCGCTGGACTGGTGGACCTATCAGGCGGAGGTTTGCGCAAGGGTCCCCTTTTCCATACCAGTGCGGTCCACCTGTCTTGTCACGGGCGCATTGGACAGCGGCTGGGGAGCCCACCTTGGGGACCTGCACACAGAAGGTATGTGGTCCGCAAACGAACTCTCCCGGCATATCAATATCAGGCAGTCCGACTGACTTGTGCGGTTTTCCTTCCCTTCCTCAGGGCAAGTCCACCCTTATCCTATCAGACAAAATGACAGCGGTGGCGTATATAAATAAGCAGGGCGGGGCACAGTCTCCTCTCCTGTGTCAGGAGGCGATTCACCTCTGGGATCTTTGCATCGGGGCGGATATCCACCCGATGGCCTCGGACCTCCCGGGCTCCCAAAACATCCTAGCGGACAGGCTGAGCGGGACCTTTGCGAAGCATGAATGGTCCCTAAGGCAGGACGTGGCCTGCTCTATTTTCCATGCGTGGGGCTCTCCCCATCTAGACCTGTTCGCCACGGGGCAGAACAAAAAGTGCCCGAGGTTCTGTTCCCTCGGGGGGTAGGGACGGGGTTCTCTGGGAGACGCTCTCCTCCTCCCTGGCCGGAGGGCGTGCTGTACGCCTTCCTGCCATTCCCACTGGTTCACAGGTTCTCCTAAGGGTTCGGGAGTTCAAGGCGTCCCTGCGTGGCCCAGGCAGCACTGGTTCTCAACGCTCCTCAGCCTGTGATGCAAGAGACCTGTGGTCGTCCCACTGTTCCTGGACCTGATTTCTCAGGACTCGGGCAGACTCCACCACCCGGGTGGACGCTCCATGGCTGACGGCAGCAGAGCTTCAGTGCTTGGCCCGAGTTCAGAAAGTCCTATTGGGCAGTAGAAAACCCTCCGCTAGAGCCATGTACCTTGCCAAGTGGAAGTGGTTCTACATCTGGGTCTCCCAAGGGGGGTGTCGCCGAGGGAGGTGCCAGTCCCCCTGATCTTGGACTACTTTGGACCTCAGGCTGCAGGAACTTTATTCGTCTTCCATTAAGGTCCATTTAGCGGCTATTTCAGCCTTCCACCCCAGGGACAGGGGAAGTCCCTGTTTGCAAACCCAATGGTTAATAGGTTCCTAACGGGAATGGACAGGCTTTACTCACATGTCCGCCAGCCTGTTCCCCGGTGGCATCTCAAGCTGGTCCTCTCTAAACTCACGGGGGCCCCGTTTGAGCCACTGGGGACGTGTTCCCACCTGTACCTCTCCTACAAGGTATCCCTTCTGGTAGTGCTCACGTCTGCCAGGCAGGTGTCTGAACTCAGGGCGCTCACCACGGATCCCCCCATACAGTGTTCTTCAAGCATAAGGTCAGGCTCCGTCCCCACCCTGCTTTTTTTACCCAAGGTGGTGTCGTCCTTCCACGCCTCCCAGGACATTTTCTTACCAGTGTTTTACCCCAAGCCTCTCACGTCAGGGAAAGAACAGGCTTTACACACTTTAGATGTTAGAAGGGCCCTGGCTTTTTATTTAGGTAGGACAAAACCATTCCGGAAATCGCCACAACTCTTTGTGGCGCATAAGGGGTCAACCTGTTTCCACACAGAGGATTTCCTCCTGGATTACCACCTTCATTAAGGAGGGCTATGCCCGGGCGGGAGTTCCGGCTCCACCCCTCAGGGCGCACTCCCCGAGGGCTGTGGCTGCCTCCACAGCCTTTGTGGTACAGGTCCCGATCCTGCTCATCTGCAGGGCTGCCACGTGGTCCTCGGTCCATGCTACCACTAATCATTATGCGCTGACGCAACAGGCCAGAGAGGATGCCCCCCTGGGCAGGGCGGTTCTTCATTCCGTGGTAACTTCTGCCTCCGACCCTCCTCCTCAGGTTCTGCTTTGGAGTCACCTACATGGAATGCACATGAGCAATCACTGGAAGAAGAAAGAACGGTTACTCACCTCGTAACTGTTGTTCTTCGAGACGTGTTGCTCACGCCCATTCCAAATCCCCGCCCACCGCCCTTTCTCTGGAGTGTTCCAGTAAGAAGGAACTGAGGGGCGGAGGGCCAGCAGGGTACTTATTGGTTGATATGCCGGCGCCACTCCAGGGGGCTCCCTGCTAGCCTGACAAGTACTGCCGAGGGAAAAATCTCCGATGCATGTACACTGCGCACGCACATCTACATGGAATGTACATGAGCAACACATCGAAGTATCACGGTTACAAGGTAAGTAACCATTCTTTCTTCCTCCTACTTGTGACACCCTTTTAGATACTTGAAAACTGCTATCCTGTCCTCTCTGTCTTCTCTTTTCCAAACTAAACAAGCCCAATTCCGTCAGTCTTCCCTCCTAGCTCATGTTCTCTAGACCTTTCATCATTTTTGTTGCTCTTCTCTGGACCTTCTCCAATTTCTCCACATCTTTCTTGAAATGCGGTGCCCAGAACTGGACACAGTACTCCAACTGAGGCCTGACCAGCGCAGAGTAGAGCGGAAGAATGACTTCTCGTGTCTTGCTCACAACACACATGTTAATTCATACAGAGCTAATATTCAGAACTTCAGATACAAAAATGATCCTTGCTTATAAATATAATTATATTCAGCAAATCATAACTTTTCCAGTGAGACTTCACATGACTCATCTTGCATCAATATATTGTACGTATGCTGTCATCATATCCGAATAATATCTCTGGGAAGGCTATGGGGTGCAGCGGGTCAACATCCTCGGCAGATGCAGCTCTGGTCTCAGCTTCCAGTGCAGGGTATTGTTCAGGAGTCACCCACAGGGACATTACCCTTTGTGTAAAGAAGTAATTACTCAAGCTGTGCAGTAGAGATGGTTCTTTGGGGTGGGGGGTCTGCATGGGTGCTCAACAGCCCATGCTCCTCCCCGCTACTTTGGAGTTAAGTGGGGAAGGAACTGAAGGAAGTGCCCATGCATACTAGCTAACCTTGTGATAGGTGAGGCAACAAGTGTGCGCAGAGGAGATGCCTGCTTCTAAAATACTCTGATCAGTGGAGCACCCATAGGGTCACATGACAAAACTGTCATTCCTACACAAGGTGAGTAACTGCCTCTTCTTTCACCTGAGAAATTGTATAAAAAATGACTGAAATACTTGTCACCTCAAAGACATAAGGTGCATTCCTTGCCTCCCTGTGAAAAGTGGGAACTAATGATAATTAAGAAAAATATATAGTACAAAACAACTGTCTCCAACTGCTGAATAACCCAATTTATTGTTACAAGCGTTGCCAAAGATCCATTTCATTGGCGTTGAAATAAAAGCAGTTCTGCAACACTGGTTGTGAGAGTTTCAGAATCACATAATTTGCTGTGGTTAGAGAGCGATCTATGTGCATCTTGCCATGGGAACATGGAATAGCTTATGGCTTGAGCAAAATGACTCGCTTCACATTTTTTAAGCTTGGTGAAGAGAGAAATTGCAACTTTCTTTGCATTGTGCCTCCTAGATGAGCTCTTTCCTAGATATGTCCCTTCCCTCCTGCGTTCTCTCCCCATATCCTCAGGAGTTAAAATTTAGATGGTCTGTTAATAAAACTTGACAAATTAGCATTATTTATACTTTCTCCTGCAGTGGTTCCGCAGTGCAGTCATTAAGGAGAATGCCATGCCTGAAGGCCTGATGACTCTGCTCTTCTCTAACATCGACCCAATCTATGAGTTTCACCGAAGTTTTCTGAAAGAGATGGAGCAGAGGCTAGCACTCTGGTAAGAATAATGAGTTTTGTGCTTGAGCTCTTGGGGATTGTCTGCTCTATTCTCAGGCGAAGACTGAAGATCCCTGCATTTCTGAAAGTGTGGAGAAGGAATAAATGAAGAGGTGTTGACAAATATGGAAGGAGAAAAACTACAGCTGTAACACTCTGAAAACACAACAATTTCATGCGTTATTGTACCCACTGTCCCACAGATTTGTACATGTAAATTATATAATAGTGTACCTCATTACTCTTGTTGTGTATAGTTACAAACTCAGCTTGCACAAATATGAGTTTTTGCATCAGAACCTATTGCTGCCTTTTGCAGAATTTTCCCCCCATTTCCTGGCCCTAGGAAAGAGAAGAAACACAAGGACAAAAGGATAATCGTGTTCTTTTGGGTATTTTATTTTGTCAGATTAAAGTATCTCCAAGTGGAAAACAGATGTTTCTTTAAATAAAGCATGCATAAGCAAAGCTATGAATTTCTCATGGGATAGCTTGTATGATTTCACAGATGGGATTACAGAACCACTGACCTTTGTGATATTTTCTTGTAGCCTGAGCCATAACATCCTGGAATCCAGCTAGCCTACAGAGGTCCATTGTGCTATGTTCTGTTTGTGGGATTTAATTGATTGTGATATTTTTACTAACTCTTTATAGTAGCAAACTACTTTTTCTCTGTGTAGACCCTGGATTTCATGACTTGGCTGTTGTGCCTCCACTTGTGAAGCATTCTGTCATAAGCCAAATAATTGCATAAAATTATGGTAACTGAGTCCTGACAGAGGAAGTGAACAAATACAGTCCACAGCAACTGACAAACGTAACTTAAACTTGCCTGATATCCTGTCACGGATTTTACAGACCAACCTCATGAAGTGAATTTCTGTTCTTTTCCTAATGTAGTTTGGTGGGTGCGCTTGTGTGTGTTCGTTCTTTTTTGTGGTCGCTGTTTCCCGTACCCCAAGATTTCAGCTGAACTAGGAAGCATATGGAGATGGATGGAGAAGCAGAACTGTAGTCTTATCTCCTTTTGTTATCCTGAATCATCTTTAGTACATTCCAAAAAGCATGTATCCATGCAAGGGCCCTCATCTGTGTGTGGTTTCTCATTCCGTTGTTCGTGATTATTTCAGGGAAGGACGATCCAATGCTCATGTGAAAGGAGATTATCAACGGATTGGAGACATCATGCTGAGGAACATGTGTATGCTCAAGGTAGAAGTTCTGCATTACCTAGTTCCAGTTTTAGCAATTTCAGACAGCTCAGAGATGTGTAAATTAATTGACTATAATTTGTAACTCACTTAAAAGCAAAATGTAACAGACTATTTGCAGCAATTAACACTACTGCTATTGTATTTTATGCCATCTACATCAAACACCAGATAGAGCTGGCTTCTTAGAAAAATAAGTGGTTGTGTACATGAGGAAATTAAACAGCTGGCCCCAGGTTCTAGGGAAATGCTGCTCAGAACCCACGGTCAGCTGGGGAATCTCCTGCTGACCCGAGGTTCCACTAAAATGCCACTGCTCCAGCTGACTTGGCTCCGCGTGGCATTTCAAAGCTGGGGACTCTTGTACATTTCAAAGCTGGCACGCCCATGTGCAGCCCAGAATCAGTGGGACTTCCCGATGGCCCCGGGCTGCACGCGGAGTTCTGCATTTCTCCTTTGAAATGTACAAGCGCCCCAGCGGGGCCCAACAGGGGCTCTTGTACATTTCAGAGGAGGAATGCGGAAGTGCCTATCGACTACTCGACTTGCAAATTAACCACAATTTAACATCCTTAGCCTCTACCATGGTAACTAATTTCTACAGAATTTTTTATTCTTTGTCTCAATGGATATCTGGCTTTTTTTTAATTTTCATGGGGGACAGCTGTCTGTCCTGCTGTCTTTAAATTACCTTAATTTTGGGTTCCAGTCCAGGTTCTGGAAGGGAGTGGACTGTAGTGGGCACAAGTCCTTTTGTCAGCCACTTCCCTACCAGTGGCTCCTTGACCCTATCTCCAGCTCTCTAAGTTCTAAGTCCTTCTTTTGTGGGCTGCAGTCTGTCCCAAAACCACCCAGCTTGAACTGGTTTTCCATTTGCTTGCAAATTGTGCACATATCCACACTGCCAGGACTAGCCTCCCTTCTCTTGGATTCTTAAATGATTTGTGCACTCCTCATAGATCTTAAACTGTCATTAGTACCCAGCAGCTGCAGTGTGACTTTTTTCTTTTTTTCTTTCCAGATACTCAAAAGTTATGAAATGCCTGAATTAAGGCTGTCTCTACAGCCCTAGCATGCACGTTCTCGCTCTCTCATTAATTATCTGGTCGGGTACTGGGTTCCAGCTCAGAGCACAGGATGGACTTGGCTCTCATACTGAACAGTTGTTCAGTACTGTCTTTCAACCTGGTTGTTTAAAATGTGTCCCCACGCCTTATCTTACCTGCTATGCAAGTCTTGCTCTACAAACAGAATTATTAATTTCATAAATTAAATTAAATTTTAAATTAATGGAGATTGCCTATCTCCTAGAACTGGAAGGGACCTTGAAGGTCATCGAGTCCAGCCCCCTGCCTTCACAGCAGGACCAAGTACCATCTCTGACAAACTTTTGCCCCAAATCCCTAAATGGCCCCTCAAGGATTGAACTCACAACCTTGGGTTTAGCAGACCAATGCTCAAACCACTGAGCTATCCCTCCCATCTTTGGGTTGTCTCTAGCACTCATCACTGCAGAGTCTGATTGCTCCCAAACAAATGATTTTTTACAGCACCCTGTGAGATGGAGTGTCATCTGTATTTTAGAAATTGAAAACTGAGGCACAGAGAAGTTAATATGAAATATGTCTCTTAATTTTGGAATGTCCCATTTGAAATATTTTGGACCTGATTTGTCAGCATTATTCGCATCAGATATCACTTTATATGTTCAGAGCACTGCTCCCATGGACTTCAGCTGCTGCTGCTGCTTAACACTTCTCCAGCCAGATCCCAGGGTCTCAAGTCAGGTACCCAGAAAATGCAGAACACACCATTAGTGTTTCACCTGTGAATGGTTTGGTTGAAGAGACTTGCCCAGCATCACATAGGAATTCAGTGTCAGAGTCAGGGATAGAATCCAGTTCTCCCAGGAAGCATTCAGATGTGTTAACCACGAGACCCTCCTTTTTCCTCCTGCAATTCCCTCCTTGTCACTGTTTACCGTGTACATTGTGCAACATATGAGGCTGGAGTCCTGCAAATGACAGCCTCCTTGGCTGTACAGTGCCGATGCATCCCCTGATGCACCAAATGAGGCAGGGCTCCTATGGAAACATGCTAGGTGATGAGATACTTATGGTCTTATCCTAATGTCTACACACAAGTCTGTGCAGTTTGCTGCCCCAAGACTCAGAATCTGGGGTTCTGTTTCAGACTTGGGTGGGGCGTGTTCTCCGTCCCTCCCGGTCTCCCTCGAGCTTGACCCCTTCTGCCCCAACCCCTCCAACCTGGCTCCTCACGTCTGGCTGCTCATCATCGTCCCGGTTGTCTTCCCCACCACGTCTCGCTGTCAGAGTCCCAATCTCACTCCCACCCCAGCTTCTCATCTGCTCTCTTTCCACTCTTCCCCACTCAGCCCCTTCTTTCAGGCATGTCTATGAGCTCCCCTGTTGTCTTGTACCAATCCACTCCTTTCCTTCCCTCTAGTCCAGCTCTTGTCCTCTTTGCATTTGAGGCAGGTGGCTTCCTCCTCCACTCTGCCTGGACGTCAGAAATAGCTACACTAGTTTCACCAACATTTTCCAGGGGAAAAAATTGAGTCTAAGGAAGACACCCCCACGGGAAAAATTTCAGCCCGAACAGTTTTAAAGTTTCGCAAAGTTATAAACAGTTGAAAACAGTGTCTTGTAGTGGGACGTGTCGGGCAACCTTAATAGGCAATACTGCCAGCCCCACCTGTAAAAGCTAAATAATGGCACTGTCCAAAGAGCAAAAGCCCACCAGCCATGTGTGACTAGATAGATATTCAAGGGTTTTAATAGCGCGGTTAGATCTAGGGTATTTCATATGTTTATTTTTACCAACAGTCAGTGCATGTGCAGTTTTTGTTTGTATCATTCATGTTTCAAGTTTGTAAGTAAAACTGAAGATGAGGGACACCAGGATGCTGGTGTTTCTTAATGCCCATTTGTCAAACATAGACTGTGTTCAGAATTTTTCCCATTTCTAGTCATTCCCATCATTCCCATGTCTCGTGATCCAACAGGAGTTTACCGGCTACTTGCAGAAACATGATGAGGTCCTGACAGAACTGGAGAAAGCAACTAAGCGCCTAAAGAAACTGGAAATGGTTTACAGGGAGTTTGAACTGCAGAAGGTTTGCTATCTGCCACTCAACACTTTCCTGCTTAAGCCCATCCAGAGGCTGATGCACTACAAGCTGATCCTGGGGAGACTTTGCAAGCACTACCCAGTAGAACACCGGGACTACTCCGACTGCAGGAGTGAGTGAGCAAGCAGCTGTGGAGATGCTAGTCTGAATTCAGTTCTTTGTCAGTTGGTATCTCTTAGTGAAGCCAGAAATATCGCAGCTCAGAACTAAATGCAAAATTCCTTTCTTTGACTTTGTTGCCACAGCCCGAGCCCCCCGCACAACCCACCCTCTCTTCCTCTGTGTCATGTGGGTGCACAAGCAAGCTTGCCACCTAGAAGCAGTGCTGTTTCTCCTGCAGGCTGAGACGCAGGAGAGTGGTGGTTCTAGTTTTAGGGATGTGATGGTTGCCCACCTAGGCATGGAGATGAGGACTGTATAGGTGCCTAGCTCTCTGAGCTGAGACATGCAAAGTAGTCTGCAGTTTAGACACATCTTCCATTACATTTAATCGCCAAGGTATCTCTGGAAATCTCAGCCCAAAGACGTGTTTTTCTTATGAAGATATGTCTTGTAATCGTTCTGTCTGGGTTTTGCCCTTCAGCTCAGGAGACATTCTTCAGAGCAGTCAGTAGCAAGCAATCCGGCCCATCCTCCCTTGGCAATTGGTCTGCTCTCACTGAAGAGCCCTAGGTCACCCGTCCAGTGTGTGAGTGGGACCAGCACCACCTGGACAGGTTCCTAGCAGTGAGCTCCCTTTGCAGAGACTACCATGAGTTCAGGTGTGTTGGCTGCTTTTGCGCGTTTATTTAGTTTGCCTCTGTGTCAGGGCTGCCATCTCTCTGCATGCTACAGACATGCCACATGGGCACCTTGCGAGCAGGGAGTGGCTCCGTCCAGGGCCGGCTCTAGGCACCAGCAAATCAAGCACGTGGTTGGGGCCGCACATTTCCAGGTCAGCAGCCGCCCTGACAATGCCCCGGCCCCAGCCCCCTTCACCTGCGAGAGACTGCTCCCTGCCAGCCGCCTGGCTTGCTGCATCCACCCCGCCCTGCCTGCTTCAGTCCTGCCGCGGCCCCAGCCCCCTTCACCTGCGAGAGACTGCTCCCTGCCAGCCGCCTGGCTTGCTGCATCCACCCCGCCCTGCCTGCTTCAGTCCTGCCGCGGCCCCAGCCCCCTTCACCTGCGAGAGACTGCTCCCTGCCAGCCGCCTGGCTTGCTGCATCCACCCCGCCCTGCCTGCTTCAGTCCTGCCGCGGCCCCAGCCCCCTTCACCTGCGAGAGACTGCTCCCTGCCAGCCGCCTGGCTTGCTGCATCCACCCCGCCCTGCCTGCTTCAGTCCTGCCGCGGCCCCAGCCCCCTTCACCTGCGAGAGACTGCTCCCTGCCAGCCGCCTGGCTTGCTGCATCCACCCCGCCCTGCCGGCTCCAGTCCTGCTGCCGCGGCCCCAGCCCCCTTCCCCTGCGAGAGACTGCTCCCTGCCGGCTGCCCGGGTCACTGCTCCTGCCCCGCCGGCTCCCGTCCTGCTGCTGCCGCGGCCCCAGCCCCCTTCCCCTGCGAGAGACTGCTCCCTGCCGGCTGCCCGGGTCACTGCTCCTGCCCCGCCGGCTCCCGTCCTGCTGCTGCCGCGGCCCCAGCCCCCTTCCCCTGCGAGAGACTGCTCCCTGCCGGCTGCCCGGGTCACTGCTCCTGCCCCGCCGGCTCCCGTCCTGCTGCTGCCGCGGCCCCAGCCCCCTTCGCCGGCAAGAGACTGCTCCCTACTGGCCGCCCGACTCGCTGCTCCTGCCCCTGCCCCTTTGGCTCCGTGCTGCCCCGCACCCTGCTCCCCTGCACTCCAGTCCACCTGTTCTCCCTGTTCCCTGCGCCCCTCTGGCTCTGCGCTGCCCGTTCCCTGTGCCCCTCTGACTCTGCGCCCCCTCTGCACTCCACAGCCCCTTTTCCCTGTGCCCCCCATTCCCACACTGCCCTTGGCCTCCGATCCCTCTGCCCCTCCCATTCCCTGCACCCCACACCCTGCTCCCCCTGTGGGTTGGGTGTGAGGGGGGCTTGTCCATAGGGAAGTGCTGGACAGGGCAGGGATAAGGCTGTTGTGACCCAGCAGCGAAAGGGGAGGGGGAGTTTACTTGAAGTGCCTTTGCCTTTATGGAAAAAAAAATTAAAATATTTGCTATTTCTAGGGCTAAAATGGCAGGACAAAAGCGAAAACAAACCACCAAAAATACCATTGCAAAGTGCAAATGTGTAAAAGCCAACAAAAAAGGGGGGTGGCCAACAAATTTTTTGCTTGGGGCAGCAAAAACCCTAGAGCCGGCCCTGGCTCTGTCTGCATCAGCTCCTGCTGGTGGAGCTTCGCCTGGAGCCCTGCTAGCATGGCACCCTTCAGAGTGGTTCATTCTTTGACCACCCGCTGCTGGTGTGATTGGAAGCAACCTCCTCCCAGGCCACTGAGGTCATGTTTCCAGGCAGGGCTCCGCTTTTGGCCACTCTCTCGGAGAAGCTCACTGTCCAGCTGGGGGAACCTTTCCAGAGCCCACAGGAAAGTCAGTCGGGGGCCACATACAAGTGAGAAGGAGAAAGACACTCCCCATGTTCCCCTCGCACAGCAGTACCTACGGGGCCGAGGCTAGGAGATGTTGTGTGCTCCAGCCCTGCAGGTGAGTGGCTGGTGCACCAATGCAGGCTCCCCAGTGCTGAGCCTTGGGGGGTCAGATCCAAGCAAGCCAGGGGCTGCATCCAGCCCTCGGGCCCCCACCCCTGCCCTACTTTGCAGCACCATCTTTGTAGTACCTCTGAGTTGCCCATCAGAAGCAGCTGACTGTTGTGTGGCAGCTTAGCAAAAGGGAGCACAAGCAGGGAAAAAAAACTGGTACAAAGAGCATACAACTCCCCCCTCCCTGTGGCCCACTGTTCATCTCCCTACCCAAGTCAATGGTACCAGGGAGAGCAGACCGCTGAATCCTCCCGGCAGCAGCCCTAGGATATAGTTGAGCAGCTACCAGAATTGTAAGAGGATTCACCACCTTTTCTGCATGTGGATTGTCTTCAGTCCTGCCCCCAAATTCCTGAAGGAAAGGAAGCCATCGATCATCTTGTGAAGCTTGTAGACTTTGATTCTGGTTGACGTGATCATCTGAGACCCAGACCTAATACCACTTTGCTGTAGCTTCTTGTCTCAAAGATCAATGCTTCACCACAGGGCAAAGTTTGGGCCTTTATCCGTTTCCTGTCATACTGCGGTACAATCGTCCCTTTGGTAAAGCAATATCATCTTCAAAAGTACCACTCCAGAATAGGAAATTATATTAACACCTGTTAGTAGCCAAAAGAAAAAGATACGTTTTAATTAATACTGTTCAATTTGGATAGAAAAGTCTTTTATTTTCTGCTGTTTCCCAAAGCTTTCTTTTCTTTTCACTTTAGACAGACTTTATTTATTTTTAACCCTAGTTAGAAGCTGAGCCCTTGCTTCCTACTGTGGTAGAAAAGATGTAATACTCATTCAGAGACTCTTGCTAGTTTACATGTATAAATGTAGCAAAAGAGTAGAAGCCATAGAGTGTCATATTTCCTAACTTTCAAACTATAGTATTGGTTATACAGTAATTACTTTTGGATTTACAGATTATAATTAGCTGGTAATCTCCAGAAACATGTAGTTACTATGAAGTTGCATGATAGTCTCCATGCGATTAAAAATAAATTTGAGTCCTTTTAAACGTGTTACAAAATAACTGATGGTAGATTGATGGCTGTGCTCTTTGGCTTTTTCTGCGTAGCCCTGATCTCTGTTTGGGTTGCTTTTTCTGCAGAGGCACTGAAGGAGATTACAGAGCTGACATCGTGGCTCGAAAACAGCCTGATTCGCTTAGAAAATTTCCAGAAGCTGACAGAGCTACAACATGACTTGATTGGCATTGATAACCTTGTAGCACCTGGCAGAGTAGGTAACTTTCTTTGCCTAATTTCTAAGTCTTAATTGTCTTTGACTACTACTTCCCTTACTCCTCACAGAAGCAGGAGTACTGGATGCCCACGGGGGTGCCCTCTGGGTTCAATATAGCAAGTCTTAACTAGACTTGCTAAATTGAACTCCGGAAGATCAATCACGGCAGTGTCTATTTTCTGTTTAGTGAAGACCTGGCCTTACTCCAGTGCTATTTGCAGCAAGGAACAAGTGAGGGGAAAGGAAGAGACATCAATACTTTGTGCTCTTGGGGAGAAGCAAAGCTTAATGTAATTCTTTCCTTTACCTCCACAGGAATTTATCCGGGAGGGTTGCTTGTACAAACTCACTAAAAAAGGCTTACAGCAGAGGATGTTCTTTCTGGTGAGTGCTTCCTTTGCTGTCTACACATCAAGTCTCCTCAAGACACAGCTACAAACCAAGCTATTTTTCAGGGATTGAATATCCAGTACAGTGATGATAGAGCTCAACACCCTAACCAAAAGTTTCTCATGGTATATGGAGGACAGTGGTAATCCTGTCCATTTTCTGTTTATTTACACCTATTTATTTATTTAAAGTACATTTAGAAACCCATGTTAATACCAAGCTTCATTAGAGAAATAAAACAAACGTTTTTAATGGAAATGGACAAAAAGGTGTAGAGAATGAAACTTTATTTTCATGCTTTTAAAAGATACAATAAGCAATGGTGAACTTAAACCTCTATATGGAAAAGGTACTTGGTAACATCTTTTTAAGTCCTCCTTCCTGTATCAGTTCTCAGATATGTTGCTGTACACAAGCAAAGGAGTTACAGGTACCAATCAGTTCAAAATTCATGGACATCTCCCTCTTCATGGTATGCTGGTAAGTAAGCTTTTTCCCCAAAGTGCACTACAGCATTGGTTAGATAGATAGATAAATAGGCTGGGCATTGAGACCTCTTGGTGCGTTCTCCTCATGCAATTATGCTGAACTAAAAGTCTCACCTACTGGTCAGGAATGACCTGCTTCACTGATGGGGTTGTCAAAGACCATGGAGATATAGGCAGGACTTTTTCGTGCATTAGTCCACGTGTGAATCCAGTGGACAAAGCATTCATTCTGTTCACCTCACTAACAAAGCAATCTGCATACAAACTCCTCCCTTCTGCATGACTGTTTGAGACTGGTCTGGGAATGCTGATCTATGCTGCTGCTTTTCACAGCTAGCCACATCAGCTCCTCTACCCCTTCTTCTAATGGAGCTATTCTTTCTCTGTTTGAATTACAGCTAATAGTACTGGATCCACCGGTGAGTAATAAGATGTACCTTGGTTGGAGTTGCTCCTTTGCGACCCCACTGGCTGTGGAATTTAGTCTACAGATGTGGCACTAGAACTAGAACACAGATTCCTGCGTAGAACTAAAATAGACTTGGAGTGCTGTTGAACTAGCTGACTTTCATACATGTTGCACCTCTGCAGTCATGGTGTTGAGTTCCTGTCCAGCATGAGTACATACCATTGCACAATGAGTGATGAGAGAAACCTTTTTTCTTCATGTTAGGTGGAAGAGAGTGAGAATGAATGGTCTGTCCCACATTGCTTCACAATCTATTCAGCTCAGAAGACAATCGTAGTGGCAGCATGGTATGTATTTCTTCTTTCCAGCCGCAAGCAGGAAAGAGCTCTTGGATTAAACAATTGGCAACTGATTGCAGGGGCCAGAGGTGTGCTTCCATGTTTGACAATAGATATAAAATATTACTCAGCATTTGAATACCTTTTATTAATGCCATGTTACAGAAAGGACCAGACCATGAGTTCTGCAAGGAACAGCACCAGACGTGACATTGCCAGCGTGTTGTTTCCTATTGAGCTTGCAATAAAAGCCTTTAACCA